CAGCCGATCAATGACTCTCATCATTGATGTTTCTCTCTCTCTCTTCCTCCCTCTGAAATCAATAAAGGCATTAAAAAACAACTAATGGTTTTTTATTTCTTATCTTAATCAATTAGAAAACAGAAGTAATTCTTTTGAGCTCTTTCCGGATTACTCTACTGTGTTAGAGTGGTCTATTTTTGTTTGTTAATCCTCACTTGAGGATATTTTTTCCATTGCTTTTTAGAAAGAGTGGAAGGGAAGGAGGGGGAAGAGAAAGAGAGAGAGAAAGAGGAAGAGAGAGAAACATCAATGTGAGAGAGACACATTGATCAGTTGCCTCCTGCATGCGCCCTGACTGTGACTGGGGATTGAACCTGCAACCCAGGTATGTGCCCTTGATCAGGAATTGAACTTGCAATCCTTTGGAGCTGATGCTCTAACCACTGAGCAACACTGGGCAGGGCAGATTGGTCTATTGTGTTATGACTCCAACTCTAAAATTTCTGATCACTTACTGTGTCATATACTAACTTTTCATTGTGTAGATGGAGAACAGAGTAAATAAATGGTTTGATCCCAATGTTCTATTTTGCATAACAGCTCTCTGATATAGGTAGGGCAGGGTTTATTTTAATTTATAACAGAAATCTGATACTTAGGAGTCTTTCACCAAATAAAAACTATTAAGGAGAAGAGCTCTACAACGTGATTTACCCTAACCTTTACCAGCATAGATGATCTTATTCCTTTGAGAGTGGGGTAAGGCATGCACAGATAAATGATATCTAGAAAGAAAGCCCCTCATTACTCCAAGATATTCACCTCCCTTCTTTTGTTCTTCCTTTGTATACACTATCAAGTAGGGATTAATATGAATTACCAAACTCCTTTCTTAGTATACAAAATTTTCCCTGTGAGGTTTAAAATCATACTTTTGAAATATGATTTCTGCCCATTTACAGTTTATTATACAGACTTTAAAAAACATAAACCGTGTATTTATTTAACAACATATCTTGTAGATTACTCCATATCAGTACAGGAATTCGATTTTTTAAACTGGCTTCATGAATGAATGTTTCATAATTTAACCAGTCATTTACTGACGAACATTTAAAGTTGGTTCTGGCACTTTTAATTAAAAACAATTCAATGATAAATGACCTTGCACATGTCATTTCTTATAGGCGCAGATGTATCAGTAGCATCCATTTCTAGAAGTAAAATTGTTAACGAGTATATAGTTTTGTATATTTTTATATTGCAATACTTAGACCTATATTCTTTTTTAAAAAAATTAATATTCTATTACTTTTCAGTTACAGTTGACATACAATATTATATTAGTTTTAGGTGTATAGCCCAGTGATTAGACATTTATATACCTTATGAAGTACTCACCCTGATAAATCTTGTACCCATCTGACACCATGCATAGTTATTATAATATTATTGACTATATTCCCTATGTTGTACTTTACATCCCCATGACTATTCCGTAACTACTAATTTTTACTTCTTAATTCCTTTACCTTTTTCACCCATTTCCCCAATTCCCATCCCATCTAGCAACTGTCAAAATGCTCTCTATTTATGAGTCTCTTTCTGTGCTTGTTTGTTTAATTTTTTAGATTCCACATGTAAGTGAAATCATATGGCATTTGTCTATCCATGTTGTTGCAGACGGCAAGATTTCATTCTCTTTTTTTTATGGCTGAGTCATATTCCATTGTGTATGTATATACACCACTTCTTCTTTATCCATTCATCAATATTGCTGGACACTTAGGTTGCCTCTATATCTTGGGTATTGTAAATAATGTTGCAATGAACATATAGATGCATATGTCTTTTCAATTTAGTGTTTTTGCTTCCTTCAGATAAATACATAGAAGCAGATTGCTGAATCCTTCAGTGTCTCTTGTTATAGCCTTTGTGTTAAAGTCTATTTTGTCTCGTATAAGTGTTGCTCCCACAGCTTATTTTTTTCATTTCCATTTTCATGAAATAACTTTTTCAATCCCTTTATTTTAAGGATATGTGTGCCTTTCTATCTGAAGTGAGTCTCTTATAATCTTCACCAGGGGATATTTCTTTCCATGATTTCTTTTTTAGAGAGAGCGACAGATATTGAGGGGAGAGAGAGACAGAGAGACAGAGAAAGACAGACAGACAGACATCGACTGGTTGCCTTTTGCACACACCCTGACTAGGGTGGGGATTGAACCTGCAACCCAGGTATGTGCCCTTGACTGGGAATTGAACCTGTGACCCTTCAGTGCGTGGGCTGATGCTCTAACCCCTGAGCCACACTGGCCAGGGCTGAAGTGAGTCTCTTGCAGATAGCATATGTAAGGGTCTTGTTCTGTTATCAATTCATCCTTTTTATGTCTTTTGATTGGCTCATTTAATCCATTTGCATTTAAAGTAATTGTTGATAGATATGTATTTATTACCATTTTATTAATATTTTTTATCTTTTTTCTTCTGCATAAAGAAGACCCTTTAACATTTCTTGTAATACTGGTTTGGAGGTGATGAACTCCTTTAGCTTTTTTTTATGTACAGACTTTTTTACATGTATTCTCTTATTTGATCCTCAAATAAAGTTGACTATCATTCTGATTTTACTGATAAGAAAATTGAGGCTGGGAGATTAAGTGACTTGTCCAAGGTCAACAGCTAGTAAAGGGCTGTACCCTGGATGAGTATCTAGGTATGGGTGTTATTGTCCTTATTGGGAATGTCTTAAATCAACTAATTAACATAGGAGACTCTTAAATATTGAACTAATTTACCTGAGAGCATCTGTGTTAAAGGAATGACTGGGACTGGCCAGGTAATGGTGGTGGTTGATAATCTTGGATAGTATAACCATAAATATGAGAGAAGTAAGAGGGAAAATTGCCTTTAGCAAGATATTTTGCTCACTCTAAGGGTTACACTGAAGGTCATCTTGTCTCCTCATAGTCTTGTCCCTTTCATCAATGATTACCTCCTTCAGGGACTTTCTAAGCAGCAGTGAGTGTCAAAATTTCCTTTTGTTTTACTTTATAGGGGTTTATTTTATGCATCTGCAGTTGCTTGGAGATTCTGGAGTTTCCCTCTGAGCCCCAAAGATGACCAAAGTCCATGAAAAAGACTGTTTACAACTGAGTATACTAATTTACCTCTTTTACTTTTTTTAGAGAGAGGAGAATTATCAAGCAAAGATATCTCCATCTTCACCTCAGGGACCACTCAAAAAGAGATCAGCTTTGGAAGATCTCACCAATGTGAGTATGCTAGCCCAATCCTCTGCTGTGATGTTGCATAAGGTTTAGGCAACCTCTTCCTTGAAAGACTTTCCCAGTTTACCAGACTCTGACCCTCTCTGGGATGTAGAGAGCTTATTTTATTTGGAATCAATGACCCAATTTCAGAAACTGGAGGGGCTCCTCTGCTGGCATGTACACCTGGATTAGTTGGTGGAGGTCTCTGGAAGCAGCAGATAGTGATTATTAGATATGAAATTGTAGATAAATATGAGAACTATGGGATCTTGCATTTAGATAAAGTCCAGAGGTGGGTCAACTGGTTGCCTAGGTCTTGGAGGTAAGTACTTTGGTGGATTCATTGTAGTCTAGGGCAGTGTTTATCAACTCAAGCTCTATGGGCATTTGGGGCAGGACATTTTGTTGTTGTTGTGTAAGACTGACCTCAGCCAGCATCCCTGGACCCCAGGCTTTAAGTTCCAGTAGCATCCCAGTCATAGTGACAATAAAAAATGCACTCTGATGTATAGAACCATTGGAAACCACAGCTCCATGACCTGGTCTTCAACTATGGAGATCTTGAAACTAAATTTTGACTAGAATTCTTGAGTTCACTTCCAAGTTACTTCCCTTCTGGTATTATTAAAGTACCAACAAAAACCAGAATTAATAGAATTTTACTAATTGAATATAGAATTGGGCCAAAGGTAACCTTTGGTCTTATATAATAATATAAGACCTTTGGTATAATATAATAGAATATAATTAATATAATATAATATAATATAATATAATATAATATAATATAATATAATATAATAAATATAACTTTGGTCTTATATAATAATAACTGCTGAGTGCTTACCTATCGAAGCACTTTCTCCTATATCAGCTTGATCCTCATATAAACCTTTGAGGTAGATACTGTAATTATCTCCACTTTACAAATGATGACTTGTCCAATGTTTGTTTTGAAGTCCATTTTATTTATGATACAGAGAAGACCAGTGAACTATTCCTTCCCTACATAATAAAGTGCCCTTCTTTGGCTTCCAGAATACTTGTATCTACTAGATAATATTTATCCTCTTGGCCAGGATTGGATAAGCATTGGCAAAGTTCTTCCCCTTGGATCACAGCTCTTTAGATGCTATGTAACCACCTTTGTGCTAATAACAGTCTCTTCCCCTAAAGATTACAACATATATGATTAGATTATAGCTTTCTGCCTAATTCCAGATTTATTATAGATAGGTTGAAAGAGACCCCTTCCACACAGACCTGTGGGGTTAGGTTTGTTTCCTGACTTATTTAATGATGGATCTAGAAAGTTGGCTGAAATAAGGTAGCCACACACATTAGGAGCAGGTGCAGCCCGTCTTGGTGTAGCTTCCCTTGGCCTGCAGGGTCTGTGATGAGAGTGCAGTGACACTGTGCAAAGGAAGGTCTTACAGCACGTGAGAATCTTGCTTGCTATGTTTCAGTCCTTTATTTCTTATGAAGTTTATATAGCCATTTATAAAGAACAAATACAAATAAACTAATAGGAAGTACATGCAAATATTCAGGACCCTCCTAATATTCTAACTGAATTCAACATCTGCTAGACCACATCCTTATTCAAGGTGGGGGTGGGATTAGAAAGGCATCCCTGAGCAGTATCTTTGCCTTTGTCTAGCTTTCCAGAATCCCAGAAAGCCCATTTCCATTTGCATTCAAGTTCTGAGGATTTATTTTGGTGACCATGAATGGTCTTTGGTGCTTTCCAGAAAATATTCCATCATTACAATGTACCTAAGCCATTCCAAGGGTTGGGCACTTGCAGATGTCTGAGCTCATCTATTTGAGGGTTTAGGGCTCCTTTCTTTATGGATTTTGGGGTTCCCTACCTCCTTGTCTACTGGCTTAAGACCCGCTTTTACATATCAGAAGTACTTCCCATGCTGGAATGACAAAGGAGAGGGAAAGAAAAAACTCTCAGCAGATTAACTAATTAAAACAGGTCACCCTAGCTGGTTTTGCTCAGTGGTTAGAGTGTCAGCCCATGAACTGAAGGGTCCTGGGTTCAATTCCGGCCAAGGGCACGTACCTTGGTTGCAGGCTCAATCCCTGGCCCTGGTCAGGGCGCGTGCAGGAGACAATCAGTCAGTGTGTCTCTCTCACATTGATCTTTCTCTCTTTCTCCTTTCCACTCTCTCTGAAAAGCAATGGAAAAAATATCCTCGGGTGAGGATATTTCTTCTTTCTGTCAGTATTAATAGGTCTCCTTGTCCCCACATCTGTTTTCTCCTTAACATTCACCACAGTGAGGTCCTGGCCTGCCAAAAACGTTGACCTGTTTTATTTTTTAAATTTATTTTTAACTTATTTTATTTTTAAAATTTATCTTTATTGGTGAAAGAATTACAGATATCCTCATTTTCCCCCATTGACCTAATCCTCACCTGAGGATATTTTTTCCATTGCTTTTCAGAGAGAGTGGAAAGAAGAGAGAGAGAGAAAGAGAAAAAGATCAATGTGAGAGAGACACATTGACTGGTTGTCTCCTGCACACGCCCTGACCAGGGCCGGGGACCAAGCCTGCAACCAAGTACATGCCCTTGGCTGGAATCGAACCCAGGAGCCTTCAGTTCATGGGCTGACACTCTAATCACTGAGCAAAACCGGCTAGGGTGACCTGTTTTAATTAGTTAATCTGCTGTGAGTTTTTTCTTTCCCTCTCCTTTGTCATTCCAGCATGGGAATGACTTCTGATATGTAAGAGTGGGTCTTACGCCAGTAGACAAAGAGGTAGGCTCCATATTCATGTTTACATAAATAATTTTGTGTCAGTAGGATTTTCATCTCTATTTGTCCATTTCTTGGTGAATAATGGGGAAGTGCAGTTAAAAGTCCCCTTGAGCTTAGATCTGAAAATATTTGTGCTTCGAGCCTTCACATATGGCAGGTACAGAATTTCACCCTGGGGATTAGGGTCTACACCTCTCTCCTGCCAGGAGTGCACTTTTTTCCAATTCTGAATCTTAATTGCACATATCAGGAGTTTGTAAAACTTTAGATGAAGTTAAAATGAAAACTGTGCCAAGCTCTTTGAAGAGCAGAGGGGGATGACATGAGTGCCTAAGAAAGAATTCCCTATTGGATTGTAGTTGCTTATTATGATCTGATGATGCAAAGTATCACATTTTTTACATTTTATTTAGAGATAATTTCTTTTTTTTTAAATTCTCACCTGAGGATATTTTTTCTGTTGCTTTTCAGAGAGAGTGGAATGGAGAGAGTGAGAGAGAGAGACAAAGAGACATCAATTGGTTGCGTCCCGCATGTAACCCCGGTCAGGGCTGGGGATCTAGTCTGCAACCAAGATGTGTGCCCTTGACCAGGAATCAAAGCCAGGATCCTTCAGCCCAAGGGCTGACACTCTAACCACTGAGCCAAACCAGCCAGAGCTAGAGATAATTTCAAATATACAAAAAGTTGCAAAAATAAACAAGTAGTACAAAGAACACACATATACTCTTTACCTAGAGTCAAGTATTGTTAACATTTAATCTCATTTGCTTACATACATCATGGCCCTTTACCCCTAAGTACTTTAGTACTCAGAGAAATTGCCTTATATGATCATAGTACATTTAACAACTTTATAAAATTACATTGATACAGTATTTTTATGTAATCTATGGTCCATATTTCATTTTTTTTTCAGTTGACCTTGTAAGATCAACATTATAAGCATTTTTCTCCCAGTAAAGGATTCAGTTTAGGGTCATTTGCTTGTCACGTCTTTTAATCTGGAACATTTCCATAGCCTTTCTTTGTTTTCTTTTTTTTAATGGCATTACCCTTTTTGAAGAATACAGTCCCACCCAACTTCCCCTTTTAAAAATAGAACATTCCTCATTTTGTGTTTGTCTGATGTTTCCATGTGATTAGATTGATGTTATACATTCTGGGTTGAAATACTGTGTAGGTGATGTTCTGTCCTTCTTAGGCTATCACATCTGAAGACACATGATGTCCATCTGCCCTTATTGGAAATGTTAAATTTGATCACTGAGTTAAGATGTTGTCTGGTTTCTCCACTATATAATTACTGTTTATTTTTTTCCTCTTGCAACTAGTAAGCAGTATGTGGGACACACTCTTAAGAGCCTGCAAAAAACCTGCTCTTCATCAAAATGTCCCCTAGATTTAGCATCCATTGATGATTTTTGCCTAAACCAATCTTTATGATGATTTTTCCAACTCTAGCACTCACTCCCCATTCACCAGACTGACCTTGATATTTTATTACAAGCATGAGCCTTCCCTTCTTCACTGTTTATTTATTATTGATATGGACTTATGAATTCCTATTTTTCTGTGGTTTATTATTCATTATTGTGCTTAATTATTTTGGTGCTGAAACTGTCCCAGATTTGGTCAGTAGGGCCCCCTTCAATCTGACTACTGTGACATACTCTTAAAATTGTGACATACTCTCATACTTTTTTTGGATCAGTTTCTTTCCAGTATAACAAGATGTTCCAAATTCTTTTTGTACCTATTTTATCTCAGCCCTGGATTGGTATCAGAGGCCAAGATCTCAGTGCCAGGTGTGCCACTGGGGTGTCTGATTTTTCTGACTTTTCAGTATACAGAACTAGAAAATATCTGCATGTATACACACATCCACGCGTGTATGTACCTAAACTTATATATACATATATCTATGCACACAGATACACACATATACTATATACTCAGATGTATATATAGATATGCATATTTAAAAATCATGGGTTCACACAGCCCTCATTCCAATAAATCCCCCCTTTTTTTAATTCCCCAATCCATGTTTGTATGTTCCTTCTTCTACAATAAGAATCCTGGCTCCCAAGAACATCAACACATTTACTCAGTACTGTAATACATCTAAAAGAGTTTCAAAATTACTTCATCTATACCATCATAATAAACAAACTTACTAAAAAGAGTTCCAGATTTATTTGCAATATTCCCTGCCATTCCACAAACCCATTCTGATTAAGGGTGTATATATTGAGGGTATGTAGTCTAATACTGTTTACTTGAGTTGTTTTTCTTGTATTTTCTTTAGTATGGTTATGGTATTTATTTGGAATATAATTAGGTTCAGTTTATTTCATTTTAAAGGTATAACTTATACATTTATTTTTACTGCCATTATTTGTAGGAGAGCCAGGGTCTCTCCTACTGTTCAATAGAATTAGTCATGATTAGAATATGGGGTGGAGCTCCCTAGACCTTCATGTTAAATATCCCCTTCAATGAGATGGGATAAATGTATCACAGGTAGTGTTGTGTTAGAGGTCTACCCTGAAAACCTAGTAGTTCTTGATATACCCAGGCAGCAAAGCCAGTTATGTTGCCTCCCTCCCCGCCCCTGAACATCTGGGGTGAAAGTGGAATGTGATATTAGCAAAACATCTTTTGGGGAATTTGCCAGCCAGTATGCCTAACATGGAGATGAGAACTACTTCCTATGTTTCTTAGAATCACTTAGTGCTGCTATTTAGTACAGTTGTACTGTACCGCTAGCTTTCACTGTGATTAGTCTACACCAGTGCTATACTAGTTATGAGATATTTTGATTATTCCTGGAACACTCAAACAAGGTGTCTAGGGTGAGGATGTGGGTCAGGACTTTCCTATAAAAGCCACCTATTGGGTAATTTGTGGTTCTCTCCATTTCTTTGCTTCCTTCTCTCCTCCATTTTTTGTAGGCTTCTCAGAGTCAACCTGTCCAGCCCAAGAAGGAAGCTAATAAGGAGTTTGTTAAAGATATTTCCAAGAAGATAAACAGGAACATACCTGCTCTGGAATTGGCCAAAAACAATGAGATGAATATAAAAAAGTGAGTAAGAGGGGACACAGATGGCATTGTTTTAGATGGTAAAGGACAGTGTGTAACATCCTTTTGATGCCCTTTTGTCCCTATTGAAAACATGTTTAATGAGCCATTTTGGTGATTACCACATTAACTGTGGTTGCAGAGGTGGGCCCAGCTGTAACATTGATAAAATGTTACAGGCCTCTTCTCTCTCTCTTTTCCCATGGTGTGTGTGTACATATTGAAAGAGCTGTTGTCACTGGGGGAATTTGCCAAAAGATCTTGTGCTTATCTTTTAGTAATTCAGTCCCTATTTGAACTATCTGTGCTTGAGATTGTGGGGGCAACTTAACTTTTCAGAGGATTCTCAGCAGCTGGTTGATAGCTTGCCCGCCTGCTTATCCATTAGAAGCTTTAGGGGAGGTTTGTCCCTTATTATTGGAGAGAGATTACTGTCTCCCTAGGCCAAAAACATGTGTTTTCCAGCTGTTACAGGGAGCTGTTCATAGGTTCTGCAAGTAGATATAACTATTCTCATCTAGGATTGAAAAAAAGATTTACCCTGTGGAAAACTTTTATTGGAAGAAGAGTTAGGGAGTGGAGTGAGACCTTTCTACGTCTCCTCCTCATTCCAGTGGGAATTACTTCTTCAGGGAAGAATAGAAGAGGTTAGATAGATATCTATAATGGGGCTAAGCATGGGTTTCAAAAGGTAAGGGGAAAAAGTTGGGGAACTTCAGAAAATTAACATGCCACATCCACAGGACACTGTCAATTACCCAGAAAAAAGCAATCAAACTAGAATATTAGCATTTAGCCCTACTTGGTTTCTTGCTGAAATGGAATTCCTGGGATTTTGCATGTATATTTTAATGTGAATTCCATGCACTATTTTCTTTTGAATTGTTTTCATCATTCTGACTTTAGCAAGGAAAGCCTCTCAAAATGCCATAAACATTCTTGCCTTCATTCAGGGTTCAGTGGAGTGGACCCTAATAATAGCATTAGAATTAATAGTTAACATTTATTGAGAGCTTACTATAATCACACATTATTCTAAGTGTTGTTTTTTTTGTAACAGCTTAATTTACATACCATACAATTTACCCATTTAAAGTGTACAATGACTTTTAGTATATTCACAGTTATGCAGCCGTCACCACAATAAGTTTTAGGATATCTTCATCAACCCCAAAATAAACCCTGTACCTTTGGAGATAAACCCTGCATCATCTCTCAATTCTACTATCCTTCTGAACTCTAAGGAACTACTAATCTATTTTCTGTCTATATAGATTTGCCTATTCTAGACATTTCATATAAATGGAATTATATAATATGTTGTCTTATGTGTCTAGTTTCTTTCATGTAGCATAATGTTTTTAAGATTCAGCCATGTTGTAGCAGGTATGAGTACTTCATTCTTTTTTATTGTCAAGTAATATTCTATTCTATGGATATACCCTATTTTGTTTATCCATTCATCAGTTGATAGAATTTGGGTTGTTTCCACCTTTTGGTTATTCTGAATTATGCTGGTATGAACATTCATTCACATACTAGCTTTTGTTTGAACACCTATTTTCAATTCTTTTGTTTATATTCCTAGGAATATAATTGCTAGGTCAAATGGAAATTCTATGTTGGACTCATTGAAGAACTGCCAAACTATATTCCACAGTGGTTGCACTTTTTTACAGTCCCACCTGCAATATATAACGGTTTCCAATTTTCCATATCCTTGTCAACCCTTGCTATTTTTTTAGATTGATTTATTTTTAAATTTATCTTTATTGTTGAAAGTATTACAGATATTCCCTTTTCCCCTCCCCTTATGGCCATCCTAGTGTGTGTGAAGCAGCATCTCTTTGTTTAGATTGCATTTCTTTGACATTATGCATCTTTCATATGCTTAGTGGCCACTTGCATATCTTCTGTGGAGGAATATCTATTCATATCCTTTGTCCCCTTTTCAAAATTTGGTCATTCGGCTTTTCATTATTGAGTTTGTAAGAGTTCTCTACATATTCTAGATATAAGTCCCTGATCAGATAAATGATTTGGAAATATTTTCATCCATTCTGTGGGTTGTCTTTTCACTTTCCTGTTAGTGTCCTTTGAGGCACAAATATTTTTAATTCTGAGTACTCCAATTTATTTATTTATTTTTGTTGCTTATGCTTTTGGTGTCATATCTAATAAGAAACCATTGCTAAATCCAATGTTATAGAGATTTACCTTTTTTTTTTTTTTGTAAATATATCTTTATTGACTTCAGAAAGAGGAAGGTAGAGGGAGAGAGAGAGAGAGAGAGAGAGAAACATCAATTATGAGAGAGTCATTGATCGGCTGCCTCCTGCACGCCCTGACTGGGGATCGAGCCCACAACCTGGGCATGTGCCCTGACCGGGAATCAAACCATGATCTCCTGTATCCTAGGTTGATGCTTAACTGCTGAGCTATGCCCGGCCGGGCGAGATTTACGTTTTTTAAATTTTACTTTTAAAAATTTTTACTGAATTTTTTTGGTGACATTGGTTAATAAAATTATATAGGTTTCAGGTGTACAATTCTATATAATACATCATCTGTATATTGTATTGTGTGTTCACTACCCCAAGTCAAGTCTTCTTCCCTTACCATTATCCCCCCCTTTACCCTCTTTTACCTCCCTACCCCAGTTTTCCTCTGGTAATAACCATACTATTGTCTATGTGCATGAGGTGTGTTTTTTTTTCTTTGCTTATTTTTAAGATTTTCTTTTCAGAGTTTTAAAGTTTTAGCTCTTAACTTAGGTTTTTTAGTTAATTTTTGTTGTTAGTGTTTGTTAGGGGTCTAAATTCATTGTTTTACATGTAGATATATAGTTGTCCCAGCACCTTTTTCTTAAAAAGACTAATCTTTCTCCACTTAATTGTCTTGGTACCCTTGTCAAAAACGAATTGACTGTTAAATGTCAGTGTTTATTTCTGAACTCTTAATTTTATTCCATTGATCTACATACATGTCTATCATTATATCAGTACCACAACTATCTTGGTTATTGTTGCTCTGCAAAGCATTTTGAAATTGGGAAGTGTGACTCCTCCAACTTTGTTCCTCTTTTTCAAGATTGTTTTGGCTATTCTGGGTTCCTTGCAATTCCATATAAATATTAGAATCAGCTTGTCCATTTCTAATAAGCCAGCTGGCACTTCCTTTTTAAAAATAATTCATTTTTTTTGGTATTAATAGAGTTGTACAGTCATCACATCACCACTAATTTTAGAACTTTTCTAGTACTTTGACCCCCTCCCACAAGGAACCTGTGTCCATTAGCAGTCCCTTCCACTTTTCAGCCTTCCTTTCTATCCTTCCCTTCTCAGGCCCCACCACTTCTCAACCCCAGGCAACCACCAATCTACTTTCTGTTATGAATATACCTCTATGGATATGTCTATTTTGGATGTTTCAGATCAATGGAATCATATGATATCTAGTCTTTTGGAGGTACTTATTATCGTTCAGACTGATGATTGTATTTGTCTTCAATCCTCTCTCTTATTTTGATTTCTAATCATCCAATGAGTTGGTCGCACTAGGTTAGTCACTCTGATGGGACATGAAATCCTATATGAAACAAAGCTTTGCATCTGACACATGTGAACAATGTCTATTTTGGTCTTTTCATGTCCTCCACTGAGAAAGTATCTTGTGAATAGCCTAGGGTAAAGGGACTATGGTCAGATACCAGCAATGTTAAGTATCAGTCCAACTTCCACTTACAAGCCTTCATAAGCCTCTTATATACCTCTCTCTAATAATCTTCTCTCATCAGCCTTCAAAAATATTAATTTCAACCTGCATTTTACCAGTGCCTGGTGCTGATAGATAAAGACAAATAAATGCAGCTAGTGGGGGAGACTGATATATAAACAGATAACTCATACAATACGGTAAGTATTATAATGAAAGCCTTTGTATATAAGTAAAGGTAATAAATCATATATGAGAAAAGTATAACAGATTTCAGGGGAAAATTTTCAGAAAAGTGTGGGGATGTAGGCCATAGAAACTATACACTGTGCTACTTAGTTGATTCACTATGGTACTCATTGATTTTTACACTCTAATCTATATCTTGGAGTTGAAGCCTTTTCCACTTCCATACCTTTAGTAAATACAGCAACAAAATGCAATGGTAGGTGAGGATTCTAGGAACTACATTCTTTTTACCCAGATATTGTTTTCTTTACAGGTATGAGATGGAACCCTCATCATCAGCAGTTACCACCATGGTACTAACCTTTGTGGAGAAACCTCTCACTGTGAATATATCTACCATCTCCAAAACACCCACTACTGAAGAAGCATTTCTTTTAAAAAAGCCATTAGTTTTAAAAGAGAAACCCACTACTGGGGACACAACCCACATCAAGAGGTCATTATCTTTAAAGAAGGACAGAAATTGGAATAAGGCATCTCACTTAGTGGAGCCACTATCCTTGCTAGAGGAGACTGAGAGTGATTTGGAGTTTGTTTCAGAGCCAGTGACTTTTGGGAATAAGCATAAAACTGCGGAGGAAACTTTGGCTAAAAGAACATTATCCTTCACAAAGATGTGCACGTGTCAGGGGAAGAAGTCCTGCTGTGGGAAGGAGTTGACCTCACTGGACATTAATGTTGAAAAGGATTCCTTTATGGAGCCTATGAACTTTAGGAAGAAGCCTAAAACTGAGGAGGCAACCCTCACTGAGAGGCTGTTAACTTTAAACAAGTGTACCACTCAGGAGAAGATGTCCCATAAGAAGAAGCCACTAATATTGCAGAAGGCCACCTCCAGAGAGAAGTTGCTCAATAAGGAACCATTGCCTTTTGAGAAGAAGCCTACTACTGAGGAGTTCCTTTTCCAAGAGTCATCTCTGTTGCAAGAGAAGCACAGCACTCAGGGTCAGGGGGAGGTGTCCATCTTGAAGAAGCCCTTGGCCTTGCAGAGGACTCCAATTGAGGAGGAGTCACTTTTAAAAGAGCCTTTGGTTTTTAAGAAGAAGCATACCATTGAGGAGGCAACCCCCGATGAGGTGCTAGTATTTGTAAAGAAGAGACGTACCATTGCAGATAAGATATCCTGCTTGAAGAAGCCACTAGTATTGCGGACCATTTCTGAAGAGAAGTCACTCATTAAGGAGCCATTGTCTTTTAGAAAGAAGCCTACCACTGAGGAGGAGTTCCTCTTCAAGGAATCATCTGTGTTGCCAGAAAAGCACACTACTCAGGGGGCTGTGGCCCTCTTGAAGAAGCCATGGGCATTGCAGAAGAATATTCATAGTAAAGATGAATTTCTTATGGAACCAGTTTCCTTTAGGAAGAAACATACCACAAATGAGGCAATTTCCAGGAAGGATCCATTGTCCTTAAAGAAGAAAAAGTACACCACTCAAATAATGATGTCCATCTGCCAAGAAATGTTGGACTTGCAGAATATGATTGGCAAAGATAAGGGTTTCTTTGTTATGGAGCCAGTGTCATTTAGGAAGTCTTCAACTGAGGAGGCAATCCTTACCAAGACACCATTATCTTTAAAGAAGAGGCGTATCACTCAGAGGAAGATGTTTCTCTTAAAGAAGCCACTGGTCTTAAAGAAGACCACCTCTAAAGAGGAGTCACTCTTTAAGAAGATGTTGCCCTTTAAGAAAAAGCCTGCAACTGATAAGGAGTTTCTTTGCCAGGATCCATTTCTACTGAAAGAAGAACACATCACTCTGCAGGAGGTGTCTCACTCAAAGAAGCCATTGACCTTGCAGGAAAAGACTACCGTTGAAGAAGAATCATATATTAAGAAACCATTGGAAGAGAAGCCTACCACTGAGGAGAAATTCCTCTCTCAGGAGCAATTTTCATTGCATGTTAAACCTACCAACAAAGATGATTCCCTTTTCTGGAAGAATTTGAACATGCAGAATAAGACTGATACCAAAGAAGACTCCTTGAGGAAGCTCTTGAATTTGCAGGAGAAAAGCATCACTGAAGAGGATTCCCTTTTCAAGCAACCATTGGTTCTGAAGAAGAAACTCTCCAATGAGGCAACAAGTATGGAGAGTCAATTATCTTTAAAGAAGAAGCCCACTACTCAAAGGGAGGTGTTCCTCTTGAAGAAGCAGTTGCCCTTACAAAGGAACATCACCAGTAAAAAGAAGTTCCTTATTAAAGAGCCATTGGCCTTGCAGCAGAAGCCCAGTATTGAGAAGGAGTCACTCACTGAAGAATTAACTTTTCAGGGGAAGCTTACCATCAATGACTCATTCCATTTGAAGATGTTATCCTTGAATGAGAAACCCACCACTGGGAAGGAGTTGTCCTTTGAAGATCCATTGGCCTTGCAAGATAATCCCACCCAAAAGGAAGGCACCTTCCTTAAAGATTTCTCGATCCTTCAAGTTGACACCAGCTCACATGTGTTCAACACTGCCCCTGAATCCAGAACAGGCATGTCCAGCTCTGGCACCATGTCCAGTGTGAGCAAGTTTAATACCACAAGGAAGTCCAGTGCTTGTAAATCTAGTTCCAGTAAAACTTTCTCATCTTGGGGCAAGAGATCACAGAAGGAGGTATTCTGTTCTCTTCTTAAATTAGATTAAATATTCTTTGTTGTCCTGGAGGTAGCTGCTAGCAGACTTTTTTTTTTTCCTTAAGCAGCAACTGAACTGTATATTATAAGCTATAGTAAATCAAGTTGGCCTTGTAGAATATCTTGACTTCCTGACTGGCATAGTGATTCACCCAAACAATTAAAAAGTATTTGTTCCAGGAATATCCATAAGGGCTTGTAATACTATATATGTATATGGGCTTTGCAGTAGTGTGTACTTCTTTGAGGAAATTGCCTTTCTTAGTAATTGCAGTCTGCATTCAAGTGGGCTTCAGTCAAAGATGGGTAAAGTTCAGAGGCATCTCCCAAGGAAGATGATCTTTAAGTTGTAAATTGAAAGGATGAAGGGATGAGATTTGGCATGTAGGGGGAGAAATACCCTTCTTGTAGGCAAAAACAACCTGAATAAAGGTGTAGAAGGGAGAAAAAGGCTACCAAGAAGATGAACTGGGCCAGATCAAAGCACTAGGACATAACATGGAACCTAAGAAGATAAGTGATATAAGCAAAAATAGTAAAATAAGAGTCTTTGTTGAAGACTCTTGAGCTTACCTGTAAAAGTGATGCCTGGTTCCTATTGTAGAGTGGGCATGTACAAGGAAGACTAAGCATTTTTTGGTCACACAGCAGCATGAGGATTGCAGGGTCCAAGGGAGCTCTGTTATAGCCCAGGATGTATTAGGCTTGAGGAGCCTTAGCAGAAGATGACAGTGGGAAGAAAGGAGTCATTCTTTATGTGTATGTGCTAAGCCTTCTTTGGAATGTTCTCCTAATATGTCCTTTTGGTGATTTCCAAGCAGATAACCCTACTGGAGCTAATTGACGAGAGCCACTATGATCCATTTTTCAACTTAGTATATACCAAGGATATCTTCAGATACATGAAGAAGAGAGAGGTGTGTAGATGCCTGGTGGGGGTGAGAAGTGGGAAAGATTTCTAGTTCTCATTTCCTCATCACTTCATCCTTCAAATGCAAGTTGAAAGGGGAGCAACAACCTGCATACTGGTAGCTTACTATGAGTTAGACATTGTGCTAAGGGATTTATAGACATTATCTTGTTTAATTCTCCCAATAATTCCATGATAGTAGGTATTATCTCCTTTTTATAGATGGGGGAAACTGCTCATAGTCACACAACTAGTATGTGGTAGAGCTGGGATATGGACTAAAGTCTGATTATCTAGAAGAACATAAGCCTGCACCTCTAATTGCTAAGGAGACAGTCTCAGACACAAAAATGGTCAAGTAGTCTCTCTCTGAGTAGCTGATCTTAGAGATCTTTTCCCTTCTCTATGCAAGCTTCTGGCATCATATGTAAAAATCACCTCCCCCCCCTTTTTTGGTAACACTTATCCTTCACTCCAAAATTCCAGGCTGGAACCTCCAGTTGCCCCTTTTCAATCCAATTTCTCTCTCTCTCTCTCTCTCTCTTTATATTGTTCAAAATATTAAAGATGTCCCCCTTTTTCCCCATTGACCCCTTCCACCTCGCACCCACTCCCCACCCCAGGCCTTCACCACACTATTGTATGTGTCCATGGGTTATGCATATGTGCATATAAATTCTTTGGTTAATCTCTCCCCAC